TGTAATTAGAATTTATTACAAAGTTAATCGGTGGAAATAAAATACTGTTTTGCTGTTGGACTTGAACACACTGCTTTATATTTACTCAAACATATTTGTTTTAGATACAAACTTAAATGTGTGATATAGTAATGCCGTTGTGAAATATATTGGTACTCTATTTTGCCGTAGCGTACCCGGCCTGGATTAGGATTAGCATAAAACTACATTTGAATTACTTTCGAAATACACACCACATCAGCTATAGTAAGTGTTAAATATCTCAATCTTGAGTAACGTGCTTGAAAATCGATTAATATGGTAACACTGTAATATGCCAATAGTGAAATCAATATATATGGAATATATATTAATATATATTATATTTTGTAAAGATATAAGATATATCTTGCTATAATATATCAAGATATATCGGCTTCTTTATGTTCCCGGCTAAAGAAATTATCTGTATATGAGACATAAATATTCGATCAAAATTATCTAATTGCAGTTTCTGCACATCTTACCTTGTGGTTTCGGAGAGAGTTTAATTATATCTTTATTAGTATTATTATTATTTAGTACAAGTCATTTTCTTGGTTCGCTATTTATCGGTTGTAGTACGAAAATTTATTGATTACTTTCATTTAACAAGAATTATTGATAAATAATACATCAAACAATTGTTTTCTTTTATCTGCGTTTAAGTTAATTGACAGAAAGACTTTCACGCAACTTAGTTCTGTATTTACTTACCTACTTAGTAGTCTTTTACAGTGATGTATCATTCTTGACCGCATCCAGTAACCCTCACCAGTCAGTTCAATCATCAGTTTATTATTGCTTAATGACAGTATCGAGTGGTTTCACATCATTTTTCGATTACTCCTTCCATGATAGATACGAACATTCTTCATTGTATTTCGATCCCAGCGGGTACTGAATCAACCAACTTACTAATCGAAGCAATTTCATTTATTCACACAACATCTTGAATTTTTGTATTTATCATAAGGCTTCTGAAAAGTTAATAAGATACTTCTATAAAGTACTCTTCTATTGCGAAACTAGGATGGCTTTATTTTTGAATTGTTCACAAATTTTTTTTTTTTTGTTGAATAGGTGGAATGCCACATGTACCGTGAAACCGACGGATTCTGTATCATATTAATATGTAATATACGGACTAAGTCTCTTTGAAGACTTCTTTCCCCCGGAATCGTTTTCGCATTACTTCGAAAAGGATCTCTTTTATTTATTTATTTTTTTTATTATAAAGTCCACACCTCCATTTTTTCACCACATTTTTTGGTGTCTGCCCTATTTATTACCCTAATTTCTGCTTCGCCTTTCTAGGTCCAATTTCTTCGCTTTAAAGATTTTGACTCTATCGTTCGCTAGTTCTCTTTTAGTTTTTTCATCTTTTCCACTATGTTCGCGTGATTTATTTGTGCAATCCGGATTATTATTTCATATTTGGGTACCTGAATCTTTGTGGAAAATTATTAAACAATTATGATTAGCTATAGTATCATACGAAGAAACCTCTATTGATTAACTTTATAATAATGCAGTATTATTATGAAAATTGTTACTATCATACGATGTATGAAGCAATTATATACTTACTTATAAACATTTTATTTGTAATGTAATACTGATCTTACCTTATATGGAGTTCGATTTATAAATTAACCTAACACCCTATATTCACTATATATTTTTAATGTCAGTTGGATTTTATATGCCCTTACCTTATGAAATTTTAATTAACTAAAATAAATGCATTTTGTATTGTGTTCGTCTGCTACTTTCATCTGAATAAGGATGACTACGTGTAAGTCAAGTCCTTTTATAAAAGAAGTGCCAAAAAATTTAACACCACATATTACACTGACGTTTCTTATTATGTTTTAATTAAAATATATGTGCAATCCTTATTTTTAACATGAAAAATTATTCATTATACATTAAAAACTATGCAAATGGAAGGAATGAAAATTAAATGTAATATTACATTAAGGACTACGGGTTTATTAATAATAATATAATAATTTTTTTTTGCCAAAATTTTATTAAAATTTTTATTCTCTGATTTAATGAATATTTAATGTTGAAGATAAATATATGCATAAATATTTTTTCACTCTTTAGTAACTTTCTTTAAAGCATTATATATTTACATTTATATAAAAATATACAAAATACTTACAACATATGGGTTACATATATGATTAATAATAATATTTTTATATATTATTTTTATTTATTTTCACCCTTGTTTTATGTTGAATCTCATTATCCTCGCTCTATTAAATACTACCCAAGCTTTATGTTAAACTTCACTTATGTCTATTTTAACTTATAGTAGATACTTTCATTTCTTTTATTGTTGTATTTGTTCTATTAAAAATTGAGTACCGCATGTTTTTTCATTAAACCAGAGCTGCTATAAACTATATTCCATGAACACGTATTTTAGTACCACTTCGGTTGAGTTGGAGTAATGCAGTCATTCCAGTTACATTTAAATATTCCTCTGACCTTGATGATGATGATGTCCATTTCATGGTTTTATGGTGCAACATCAAGCCAAAGTGATGCTACCATTTCAAATCTCAAGCGTAATACTATTTTTATTTATAATTTGTGGAGCTGTGTACGCCTTTTGTGACTATTTTGCTTTAAGCATATAATAAAAATAATTTTATATATATTTACAAGTTATAGTTGTGAGAAAAAGTAATTGGGAAGAGAATGATTATAGCTTAGGTAATTCTGTGATTATTTAATTCTATGTGATGCTAAGTGCACTTAAGGTTCAAAACTTCCTCATACAAATCTTTATGACATAGTTTAGAAATAAACATAACATTATAAAATATTGTCTAGTTTAATAGAACATTCAACACTTAGTAAAAATCGATTTTTTAAAATGCTGGACACATTAAACATTTTTCTTTTGTTCAAAAAAAACTTAGATATATGCAAGGTTCAAGCATTTGAAATCTTGATATATTGTATAAACCAAAAAATATCGTGAATTGAACACTTTATAAATGAAGAAGTGCTTTGTGGATTATCTCAAAACTTCTTATAATACCGCGGCTAAGACGGTATATTGTGCTAACCCCTGTAACTTCAATCAAACGTTAGGCTTTCAATGAACTTGGGTACATTTGCCGATTTTGTATTGTTTCATATGTTATGAGGAGCAATAACTCTATTGCCAAAATGCATAAAACTCCTGTCGCTCAGGGAAGAACATCTACAGAGCATGTGTGCAAATGTTTCAACATCCATTTCACAAAAGTGGTAAATACTGATCTCTGAAAAGATTATTTTGTTGACATGAGACCTCAGCCTGCAGTGCCCAATAAATATTCATATATACTTTATGTTCTGAGTAAGGAGTGTGTAAGGTTTGGTTCGTCCTGTAGTTTTTGAATTGGGAGTTTAAGCTTAAGCTTGAGCTTGTGTTAAGCTCCTCGTTTGGCGAGGCAGCCAAGTTTCTCGTGGCTTCGTATGTTTCATATCTTTGATCCCGCAATAAGTTAACGTGATTACTTTATCCCTGTAAAAAGTTTAGATATATACATATACCTTTAAAAATATTTTTTGCTTCGTTTTAGTAAATATAATAAATCCTGTGTACTTTTTTTTGGTTCATCACTTCATTTCATTTCACTACATATTTAATATATGTAGTGAAACTAAAGTCCCTTAGTGTTATTGAGCTTTTAGCAGACTTTATTAATACTCGTATTTGCAGAGTCTTATAACAAACAAGTTGAATAGTCCTCATTAGCTGTTGTTATTAAGTAAAATTATATTATCAATTAGAAATTTTCATAATTAGTCTGAGCAGAAAAATTAAAATTGGTTTTGTCTGGCATATATTAATGTGAATAAAGTTTAAAATAAAACACATATGCCTTCATTTAAATGAGATAATTTCATTATGCTCTTGCCATCAATTTACTTTCATTGTCTTACATGTTCAGACTAGACAGATACTCTCTATTACCTAAGTAGATACTTATTAGTAAGTACCAAAAATTTTTTATATAGTTACTGCGAAATATTTATTTATCTCTCAGTAAAGATATGCAGTACTCATTTACTTGAATGATATGAAAAATCAAATTATGTGCAAAATTAATGAGTCTAAGTGCATGATATAAAATTATCTGAATTTGCAAAAATATTTTGTATATTTTCATTTCATATAACATCTCGTTAATTAAATGTAAAATTATGTTTTTATTAAATAGCAAGTTTTTAGTAGATTTTATTTTTTCTATGCAATTATCGTAACAAAAATAGTTATAAGTAAAAAGGATGTA